CATAGGGCCAACCTTTTCTTCCTGTGGGGGTGAAGGTGGAATCGGTGTCACACACGGGGTGCCCAGTGGACCTCCATATCTGTGTCATGAAGTGGGCAAGGGAAGAGAGACCAGGTGTGGCCCAGGACCCTCCCACGTCTGGCCAGGATCTGCCGTCACCTGTGCACAAGGTGTTCTCGCTGCCTGAAATACCCTGCAACTCCCCAGTGGGGCTGATGACTTTTCACCGGTCACCCCTTGAAGCCCAGCTCAGACAGCCCTTCCAGGGAGCCTCCCAGATCCTGCCTGCCCTGCTGTCTGGATTCTGGGTCCCTCGTGTGGGCACAGCCTCCTCCGGGCCTGAGTCCTCACTGGTTGCCTGTCCATCTTGCTACACAGACACCCCCTGTGGGTCTTACACCTTCTGTTTCTAGGGTCAGCATGACGCTCAGTGTCCACTGATAAGTGCCTTCCCTGACTGCCCTGTTACAGTCCCTGTTCTAGACAGAGTCTCTGCTCTTCCCTGCTGAGGAGCGGTCTGCTCTCTCGCTTGGGGGTGGAAGGCATAGAAAGGGGTCCCTTTGGGGGAACTGAGCATCACCCAGCCATCGTAATGCCGCCCTGGGTCTGTGTGCAGCTGCAGCGGCGTCCTGGGTGAGTGGTAGTGAGAGGTCCCCTGGTGCTGTGAGAAGCGGGTGGGCGGCAGCGAGGGGGACTTGGTGCGGGGGCCTGGGGTGGGGAGGGAAGGTGCGAGTTGATGATGGTGCAAGTGCTTGCCTGGCCACGTGCCGTCAGCACGCAGAGCCCCCTCCGCAGCTGCTGAGACACAGCAGACACCTCCTCTTCCCCCTCCGGGTCCCCCCTGCCACGGGCCCCGATTCCACGCCGTCTGTGTGGTGTTTGCACACGGGTGCTCCTTTCTCCTCTGAGCTGTCGGGCTGTGCTTTTCCCTGGAGGGAGGGTGTGTTTGGAGAGGGTGGGAGGCGCCGGGAAGACGGTCACGCGGCTTTAGATGTATGTGGGAGCTTTGCCCTGGAGGGCCGCCTCCCTGTGTGCAGACCAGGGAGGGACGTGTTGCACCTGTGCAGGTGCACCCGGGGGGACAGGCACACCCAGGGGGACGAAGGTCACACTAACTGGAAGTCACCTAGAGCAGATGGCCTTGGGCTGCGTCCTGCCACTTCCAAAGCCCCATTTCCTCACCTGCCGGTGGGGCAATGCTCACGGGGATAGGGTGAGGACTCCATGGGTCACTGTCTGGAAAAGCCGTCCTTGACCGAGTCAGATGGGAGGGGTGGGATGCTGCCATGTCCTCACACTGCTGATAGGGACTGAATCTCCCGAATCGCATTTCCTCCTCCCTGCACAGTGGTTGACCTGCGTCGGTACTTTGCAAATACCAGGAATCCCAGCAGCTGGAAGAGGCCGTGGAGGATGCCTGTGAAACAAAACTAAACAGATAGGAGGGACGTGAGGCGGTTAGGGGTAGGGTCAGGGTTAAACGCGACTTTAGGAAGAGAAAGTCCCGTTCGGCTTAGCAGCATGGCGGAGCAGTGAACATGGTGGTTTTCCTGCTCTCAGAGGCCACCCCGAAGCATTCGTGGCTTCCCATGGAGGCTGCAGGCTTTGCTGAAATGGGGTGATTTTCATCAGGGCGGCACAGGGCTCCAGGTCTCACTCTCCTGCCAGGGCCTCCTCCAAGACCAGTTTGATGCCTGAAACATGGCTGTTGAAAGTGGGTGTGGTGGCCACCGCGCTCCAGGCCTCCCCCTCGGCCCGACTCCATCCTTGAATTTCTGCTGAAAACATCAACATCTCAGTAAAGTTACCCAGCTCGAGGCCCCTCCCCAGGACCAGGCCGGGCTGGTGTGTGACGTGGGCACCTCATTCCCTTTTACTGTGCACAAGAACCTTTCCAAGTAGGTGCTCCTGTGCCTGTTTTCCAAAGGAGAAAACTAGAGCTACGAGAGATGAATGAATTTACCTAAGACTGTTCAGCTGGCTAGAAGCAAGCCGAGGGGTTCCGCTCCCCAAGTGTGTCTGACTGTAGAGCCAGGGCCGTCTTGGGGGCATTATCTTAGGTTTGCTGTAAAAAACTGGGTTTTTTGGGCTGGCCCGGTGGCACACTGCTACAGTGCGCCGCTTGGGAGCGCGGTGGCACTCCCGCCGAGGGTTCGGATCCCACATACAGACCGGTTCCCGCTCACTGGCTGAGCGAGGTGCAGGCGCGACACTGAGGGTTGCGATCCGTTGCCGGACACGAAAAAAAAAAAAAAAAAAAACTGGTTTTT